AATGCCTTCCATCTATCACAACATGATCGATTTGGTTTATCGTTTTTCGATCTGGAGACAGCCATGTAGCTTGGTGGATCTTCTTATGCTGGAACCTAGTAATACATATTATCATGTTTCGGGTCCCGGGGAAGTCGATAGGCCTCAACCCGTTATCGGACGTTTCGTCGTGGAGGCTGAAGTTTCCGACAGTGGCTCCAAAGATCCCTTCCTTGGCCACCTTGGCATTGAAATCGCCAGGCACGATTTTTATATCGTGCCGGGGGCAGCGCTTATATGTACGCTCCAAGCGCTCATAGAAGAGATCCTTGGACGCCTCTACCTTCTCTTCCGTCGGAGCATGGGCGCAGATGAGAAGAATCTCGATTTGATGCGGATTGTGGCTAGACGTTCGTCTACCGAGGTGAACGCCAGTACTCGGCGGCGGAGTCCCTCCCACCACAATTCCCAGACTGAATTTGTGCTCCTTTACGTGGCAACTATAGTAGACGTCGCAAGGCTCCACGCTTACCTTGTCTTGCCCCGTCCATCGCATTTCATGGATGGCGGTGATGTCAGTCTTAGTTTTCCCCAGGAGATCAACCAGCCGGGAAGAGGCACCTTCCCCATTAAGGGTCCGGATATTCCAGGTGCATACCCTCAAATCATAGTCCTTAATACGTTTGCTGGGTCGTCATCAAAAAAAGGGGGTCTCATCCGAGCCTACTTTTTGTTTTTCATTGGGCGCGGTTTTAACGTGGCGGGACACAAACCCAGCGCACGCGAAGTTTTACGCCTTCTGATTGCTACTCAGAGGATACGTGGATATAAATATCCGGACTTTGTGAGCTGCGATTTGAACCGTACGCACAAGAATCACTTGTGGCTACTTCCAGGTGAATGGCAGTGAAAAGCTTTCCACTTCTGAGCACGGAACCATCCACAGAGGGCTAATGTAGATAAATGAATTGTTTGCATTTAAATTTTCAAATAAGCGTACGTCATATATTGATTTCACTTTGTTTGTTACATTGTGGTTCATTCGTTTGTTTGTTTGATTATAATTTTTGACATTATAGCCCTTAAAAGAGAGCCGCACTAAGTTGCCAATCACATCTTATTTAATATTTACAAACTAAAGGCCTGCAAATGTTGAACTATAAGACATAGCGACATGCGTCACATCATGCAAGTGCCAGTTCATATTATGTTTCTCATATGTGTTTCACAATAACATATGAAGATACTGGCGAATAATTGAAATCAAATCATGCATCAAATCTATGCATGTCAACACTAGCAACACATGCGACATAGTCAGCATTATTAGTTACATTTTATATACGGGAAGAGATTTTGTAAATTTTTTAAGCACATAATAGGTAAATGCATTAAAGAATTGTCTAATTAAAAACCTGTATATATTTTCATCCAAGGCAGGATCAAGCAGTATTAAAAATATGCTACAGAAGCAAAACAGCGAACAACAGCTTAGCTAAGTAGCAACGACATGCTAAAACAGTATGTTTGAGATGGAATGACATGGCATAACACCTTGTTTGAGTTGACATGACGTAGCAATGCATGAAATCTTTGAAAAAGACATTTTTACAGAAAATGTTGATTTTTTTTTACAAACCCAAAAACAAATGTACTGTCCCAAAAAACAAGTCGTTTTTTTCTATCGCATACCCCCCCTCCCCCCATTTAATTGGTTTTATCTTAAAAACTATCCAAATAAAATTTTATGCTATTCGGACCACGGCAACCCGTGCCGACTTGCCGTCGAAGTTATCAAATAATCTTTGTGCAGTTCGCGTGTTTTGTTAACTTTTTAATTTTACTTCTATATAACGCGGTATACTTTGTGTTTTTGGTTTTTTACTAGATAGTCAGGACTTCTTCCAAAGGACTATAAATTATAATATATTTCAAAAAGTTTACGTAAAATATGGATATATGGGTATCAATTAAAAGAAAAAATCAAAGCAAGATTAATTATAACCTTTGTTTTCAATTATCCTTTTGGAACATGTCAAAAATGCCCTTTAAAAATTGTATCCTTCAAGTTTTATAACTTTGAAATATTTTTGAAGAATCTTGGTTTAATTTAAATCCTATAAATGTTTATAAGGATATTTAAGGATAAAAATTGCAAAGTATATTTCCTTTAATTAATTTTTTCAATTTCCTTGGGAGAAATCCTGTCGTCCTATTAAATATTTAAAGATTCAGATTTACTAGAAATGCGTTCAAATATGGGAAATATATCGAATCTTTCGCATTTCCAAAGTTTTCATGGACGATTAATTCAAGTTATTAACTAAAACTTCAACTAAAAGTCGGCACGGGTTATCGTTATCCTACGGCCATAAAACTTCATAGCACAAATACAGAGGATATGCATATCAAAATTTCCAAAGAAATTTTTGTCCATATATTTTTGGGACAGTCTCATCTCACATACATATTCAGCGCGTGGCGAAGGGTCGCAAATACGAGGCTGGTTAGTATGTATATATTTCCATTATTTCTATCTCTAAAGCCATGTAAGTTAATAGTAGAAATATATTTTTAAACAAGCTTTCTAAGTATGAACCAAGTCGGACCATAAATACGGGTTTTCCAAATATCTCGACTTCTGCGCCACCTATCGGCAAAGTGCAGTTATTACTTTTCATATAAGCACATATATGTTTTAAATATGAACCAAATCGGCCCATAAATACGGGTTTTCCAAATGCCCCGACTCCTGCGCCACCTAAAGAATCATTTCATCTTTCATATTGCATTTTCATCGGGTTGTAAGCTTAGCTCTTCGGAAGTTGGTGAAATATTGATTGCAAAGTTCCAGGACATACACACGTACAATAAAAGCTTGTAATAAATTTTGTTTACTTTTTCTTGCACATATATGACGTCGAAGACTACATTACCCCAGAGTGGTCGCGGTATCAGCATTTTTCAGGCGGGCAAAACAAATCGTAATACATATTTTTTTATAATGCATTTGCGGAGGTCATAAGTGTTTTAAAATTATAAAAATTTTAAAAATATTTATTTTTAGTTTATGTTTGAATCTTCCCCAATGAAATAATTTCAAATTAGATTGACTATCAATTGCAGACAAAAACTTTTTAAATATGGGCGGCGAAATGGTCCCGACCCGTCGCTCACACTTTACGCAAGGTCGCGACTACTGTAGGGTCAATCAGCAAGGTTCTATAAAAATTTTACTTTTTAATACACATTTAGAAAGAAATAAGTATATATAGTAATAATACCTATGTATATGTATGTATGTATGTAAATAATGTGTACTTAAACAGATATGCGGCATGAAACGAATATAAAGTATTTTTCCATTCCTTTTTAGTTACACAGCAAACGTTATAATTCACAAGTGTTCGAGATCATCAGTTCCAGATATTGAATATTGTGTTGCATTGTAAAGTTTTCCATTGTTAACGTATAACGTACTTCCATCAACATGACAAATACAAACGAAAACTCTAGCGAAAATGAAAAATTGAGTCACGTTGAATTTTTGGATCTAATACCGCATCTATCACTTCAGGACTTGCTTTCAACTGAGTACAAAGTGGATAATAAATGGAATCTATTAATACAATTAAGGGATGCAAGCAAAAAAATATATCAATGCGCTGTGTGCAATGTTGTACAGTCTGGTGTTAAAAATTTATTTGCGCATGTGGATGGGAAAAAACATAAACTTAAAATGAGCTCGATAAAACAACTCTATCAGGCGAAATACACATACGGAAAAAATGTTAATGAACTTTTGTTCGGCTCAAAAACTAAAAGTCCTCCAACGAAATCTCAGCAGAGTGTGAATACTAAATCGTATCAAAATACATCTAACAATGAAAATTTTGTCAAAAATGCATTTTTTAACTTACCCGATAAAGCAAAATCGACTCTACCAAAACTGGACGAAGGCATAAAAGATAACGCGGTAGAAATATTCGATGACATAAATATACAGACGTCGGAATACCAAGCGGAAGAGACATTAGCTAAAAGGCAATTTAGCAAATCGCTGCAGAATGTTTTAGATGATCCAGTACCAATAGAGTCCAAAGAAACGCAAGATAAATCAGAAAAATGTGATGTTTCGTCAACAGTTATGGTGATTAACGATTATAAAGAAGATTGCTATTTTGTCGAAGAAGACAAATGTAATTATAGAGTAGAAAGTTTAGATAATATCGAGCCAGCAGCAAAAAAAGCTAAAATGGTGGTAAATCCCGCAGCACTGAGCAAAAAAAAAGGGGATGCAATTATAGAAGCATTAGGCCATGATGATAAAAAACCTAAATATCAATCAAATATCACAATAATACCTACAAAAATTAAACGTAGCGAAAGTTTATTTAATGAATCAGAACATGGCAGTCAACAATTATTTACAACGAAAAGGTTTACCTGTAATCCACTTGATGATGCCGTGCATGGCTTGGTAGGCGTAGAATATGTTGTGAAAATTTTAAAGGGATCTAATGGTAACCAGCCCAAGTACGAATGTGGACTGTGTGAAGTACTAAGTGATGATATGGGCATGCAAAATCATTTAATTGGTTACAATCACCGCCTTAAGTTTTGTGAAAAACACTTCCCAACAGCAATTCGTCAATATCGGCAGTATATACGCAATGTCAAACCTAATGAAGTCTTCAAAGTTATGACACCTATATTAAAAAGGTTAGCGATTGCTATTGAACAACATCATGGTCGTGATTTACCATATGAATGCATTGAAAATGAATTCAACATGAACCGTCATGAGATACTATCTAAAGTGTTTTCATGCCGTCATGCATCTGAACAGTACGGACCAACTTTTACGCATATAATTGATTCAAAAGAGGTCGATAAGTTAATCGAAGAGATTGATAAATACCAGCCTATCGCTATATCACCTAAAACTATAGCATTTGATTTAGGCGCAAGGCCAACTCCAAGTAAAACTCAATACACTATCAACAGAAAACAACAATCTTATTCAACTAATACTAATAGATTGGAGGCACAATCGTTCAATTCCTCGTTGCATCATTACAATACGGAAATTCTTCCTCTAGACAATGAAACTCATAAACTAATGGTAGAAAAATTTCTGAAAAATAATTGTAAACAAGGGCATCGTTCATCGAAGCCAGCTAACGAACTGCGGCCCACTCAAACTCTCTCACGGTCTATTTCACCAATTGGTAAATTGAATTCAAAGCGTAAATCGCTTTCTCCATTGCGTAAGAATGATGTATGGCAGGCATATCGTCACTTAGTTGATCAGAAAATTAGGGACTTAAATGAAGTTTTTCAAATCTATCGAACTGATCCCGAAACACATCCCGCTTATGATCGAGAATGGCAGATGTTTTGGAAGCGACGTAAGAACGAATTAATCGAAGCAGGACTAGATCATCGCGCATATAATTATCAACCAGAATGGGTAAGGTTTTTTAACATTCGAATCGAAGAGTTGTATAATCAATCTGTGGAAAATATAAAAATTGATGCTCGAGAAAGACTATATTTGCCAATGAGTAATGAAAGTACGTTACATGAGAAATATCATGTCCATGTTAACTATAGTGAAAAAGAAAAAACTACATTAAGTGCTAAGTCTTTGAATGAAAAATGGCCGAGACCAGACTTAAAAGATACTTCTAATGAGTATTTTAAAAAACCGCAAGTAGTTTCTGTGCTGCGATTACTAACAGCTTTAGAAGACTATTTGGGTAGTTTAGGTCCAAAAATTGTAGATCTCTTATCTAAAGCACTTCAAGTAGAGAAGAATAATCCGTGTGGATTGGATATTATAATACTGACCGAAGAAAATTGTAGTTTATTAGAAACTGCTATGGAGAAGTTTAAAGGACTAATTATTGCTAATATTTTTGAGGACGTTAAACATCAGGCTTTAAGGAAAGCTATTGACGAAGTAGAGTGTTTACTGTCCCAAACTAAAAGAATTAAAAGACTTCAATCCACTTCGAATTGCGCAGAAACGCCGAAACAAAAAAGTGACTTATCAAAGGAAAATCAGTTGTTAACTAATATACTAGCACAAGTAGACAAAAAAGAGTTAGCACTGAAATTGGCTGGGTTGCTTGCAGCTCAGGGAAAAACAGACATCGATCCTGTACAGCTTCAAAAAATTATATCAGTTTACATGCTTATTGAACAAAAAAAACAAGAAACTTTAACTACATCAGAAGGTAAATCAACCGATTTGCGGAGCCAAAGTAATCTGCGTGATCATCCGCTAGAAAATAATAAACAATTTCCTGAGCCACAATTTTCGTCATATGGAAACCCGCGTACTGACCGTAATTTTAGTGGAAACCTTAGCAATGCAACATTTTATAGCAACGAAAGTTCAAATAGGAACAGAAATCCGGCGTTTTCAAATAATTACCAACATAGAGATAGCAGTTTAAATTTCGGATATCAACAATCAATTGCGCGACCACAAGAGGAGCGAATGAATAATTTGTTTGATTGGAGCACATCTACTTTCCATTCCTCTCAAGGACAAACTATGAGAAACATCGAATGGAGTGGAAATAACTGGAATTGGAGAAAATGCTAGAGCAGTTAAAATGCTTTTCTGTAAATTAATAGTTCTGTTAAAATCCAAGACTTCTACATACTTATAATATGTAGTCTGTTTTTCATAGTAACAATCGTGGTTAAATTACCCATACTTTATGGCTAAAATGTTGTACCAAAATTCATTAAAAAGAAAGTAAAATATAATTGAAATGTTTTTTTTTTTAAAGAAAACAATATAAAAAAATAGCTACATATATATATATATATATATATATATATGTATACTTATTTATGTAATTTAGTTCAGTCAAATGAAAAACAATTCTTATTAGTTGAAGTGATTATATAGTAAATTGCGGATTGTTCCGATAGGAAGCGACAGGTCCAGCTCGGAAATTTGATTTATTTCCGTTTATGTTCTTGATAAGGGCCCATTTTTAACATACTTAGATTTCGAAAATCTTACATAGAACAGTTGAGCTCGTCGCATGCTGCGTAAAGGAACATTAAAATACAGTCTTCCAATTGACTGCCCTTCCGTTTTATGCTGTATTTCCACTAGTCATTAAAATGACACAAATTAGAGACATTTAAAAAATGCCATGTGGAAATGAATTAAATGACTATTTTTGATGTGTTGTTGTTGTTGTTGTTGTAGCACCATACAAATTCCCCAAAGTCTTTGGGGAGTGTTGCTGGAGTGACAGTCCTTGGCCAGATATAAATCTGGGTCGTCCCGGTTACGTAGACCCGACTGTCGGGGGAACGATTGATGTGTATACATCTTTGGTTTCGGTAGGGGTAAAATTTGCGAAGCTGTAACGCATAGCCCAGCAGAAAATTTCGAATGTGTATTGCAGCAGAAAATTGTTAATTTCATTAGAAGCGCCCTGTGTTTACTTGCTATTGCTAATGGTTGCATACATTTAGGCTTATGAAGAGTAGAGGAAATGCGGTACAATTTACTATTACCTCCGATTATGCTAACTCCGCGCATGCATGCGGCTGAGTACCTATTTGTATACATACTTGGCGGAGTGCAATAAGGCCCTCGGAAATAACGCCCATGGGCTTTACTTCCAAAAAAAAAGAAATAAAGCCCGCGGACGTTATTGCCTTTTGCGGCGGGCATTATTTCCCTGTCGATATGGCAATAACGCCCGAGGGCTTCATTTCCTAAAAAATTAAATTAATCTTAAAAAATGAAATAAATCTTTATTGTGGCTCTTGTCTCCATTTTAGAATATGTACATCCAAAACTCCCTGTTCTAAATAAAAACTATCTAATATAATAACATTGAACTAAATATTTGTTTTTCTTTATTAAACGAAGAAATTGAAATTAACAAATTTATTTAATTACACAGGCCTACAAAATTTAAAAAAAGTTCAGACCCTGGGACTAGCTTACACTTTTCTAAAGGTTTTCGTTGCGCTAAATCCAAAATCACTTCTGCTCTATTGGCTTAGGTTTTCGCGATATTTGAGCCTAAACATACGGACAACCCGATTTTTTGCTATATTCTTCATGTATTTTCATCAAGAATAGTTCGTTTTTTTTTTCAAAATTGAATAAATCTTTTGAAAGCAAAATATTTCCCCTTGATAATGCTGTTTAACTCAACGAGATATCTTGTTTTAAACCTGAGATATTGTGCATTGAAATTTATGAGTTTTGCGACATTACTTTGCACAAATGCTTGAAAGATACAACACGAAAAGAAGCAGATTTGTGGTATACGTTTAGGCGTCTTGATTTACGTAATGAATGTATGTGTATATGTGCGCGTACATAGCGAAAACTTATTTCATTTAAGAATTTAACGAAGAAATTAATACATGAGAAATTCTCTAGGAATTTCATTTGATATTATACATATAATATACATGATATATGACATGATATATAATATACTTAATAATATACACATACATTCAATATGTAAATAATGACGCCTAAACGTATACAACAAATCTGTTTCTTTTCGAGTTGTATCTTTCAAGCATTTGTACAAAGAAGTAATGTCGCAAAACTCATAAGCTTCAATGGACATTATCTCAGGTTTAAAATAAGATATCTGGTTGAGTTAAACAGCATTATCAAGGGGAAATATTTTACTTTCAAATGATTTATTAAATTTTCTAAAAAAAAACGAACTATTCTTGAAGAAAATACATGGCGAATATAGCAAAAAGTCGGGGTTTTTGCAACATCATCGTACATTCATATAGAGCATTTAAATAATGTAAGTATATAAACAAATAAATTTTCCGGCGTAATGGCAAGGGGGGAGAAGGGAGCCTGTTGGCGCTCAACCGCGGCGGTCCGCGTTGGCAACATCACGCGACGCGATGCGGCGCGGTGTGCGTGCCGCGGCCGTCCCCGTTTGCCCGCCAACACTAAAAAACCTAAGACGCTGAGAAAAAATATGTGCATCGGATTGAACGCTAAAAACAGTAACAATTCACCTTTTTTCCAATAATTTGCTTATCAGTTATTGGCAAAAATACCGTTCGATTTTATGCGTATACTGCAGAAGAGAATTTAACGCAGAACTACACTGTATGCAAAAATAGAGAGCAATTCGTTTAAAATACTTTCCATTTTATGCAAATGTATGCCTGTGTACATAATTGGAATGTTTCAGTAAAACAAAACCAGAGAAAATACTTCTCACGGGTTTTATTTCGTTTTTTATGAATAAATCAAGCGGGCGTTATTTCCTTTTCTTTGGGAAATAAAGCCCGTGGCCATTATTGCTCTTTCGCAAAGGAAATAAATCCCGCGGGCCTTATTGCCTTTTATTGGTGGGCGTTATTTCCATTCCGAAGGAAATAAAGCCAATGGGCGTTCTTTCCGCGGGCCTTATTGCACTCCTCCTACATACTTTAGTTTGTGGTACATAGATATGTATGAACTCATTTAATTTAAAAAAAATACTGAAATCACTTTAACTGGGACCGTTGATAACTGATGAACACACATGAATATATATATGTATATCTGTGTTCGTATGGAAAGGCTGGCTTTAATATAATGCGGCATTCGCAGCACACGATTTCGAATGGCTCACTGGCGCCGAGCCGTTGAAAAACTTTTGGCAAATAAACGTGCATAAATAGTTCCGACACTACCAAGTCAATATTCTGATAAAGTCTCATCAAAAATTTGTTTGAAGTTTAAAGAATGAAGGGAACGCCGCATTATACTAAAGCCAGCTTGCCGACATAAGCTACTGTTCTATACGAACACATATATATACATATGTATGGATGATATAATAGCTCTGATCTAATACTTTTCGTGTAAAATCCCGTAAAAATGTCAAATAGCAAAATCATTTTCTGAAGTGAGAGTAAAAAGTGAGTAACAGCAAAAAGTACGGGAACAAAAAAGCATCGGGTAAAGTCTTGAAACTTCATTCTCTTCACAACTCTCAAAAAATCGCTCATTTACGTGATTTTGGAGTACGGGATCGTTTTTCCTTTAACTTCCTGCAAGTTCGTGTAAAAAGCTGTAAGTTCATTGAGTACTGGATCAGAGCTAATACAAGATTGCACAAAGAGAAGAAGACGAGAGTAAGAGGAAATGGCCGAACAAAGGAATTTAGCTCCCCATTTTGCAAAGCAAAGATGGTATGCTATATGTATTTATTCATGACTTTGACGTAAAAATAGCGACAGATGAAGCATAACCGCAGATCATATTCCTAAAAGAAAAACTAAATTTAAGAATATATACAAATAAAAATGCTCAAACTACAAGCTCAAAAACGGTAATTGATGCGGTGTTTTCAAGATATTTTAACGCCCTTGATTCACAAGTATATACAAGAATCATATTTTATCAATCATACCGATATTTTCATGTGTTAAAAGAATTAAAAATGAAAATTAGTAGTTCACTTGCAAAGTGCGCTATGTAAATTTTTTTCGATTTTTAGGTTTTGGTGGTTAACGCCCCAATATTTAAAGTGCAAAATCCTTATATTTTCTAAAAAAAAAATAACATCAAATGTTAGCTACTCTAGCAAAAGTCGCTATAATACTTAGGGCCGTTTTCACCATCTCTGGTTAACACTAATCCCCAGTTAAACATTGTTACCGACGTTACCGACCCAATGTTATATGAATGGAGTCACTACCGTCGGTAACGATGTTTAACTGGGGGTTAGTTTTAACCAGAAATGGTGAAAATCGCCCTTACTGTATGTATATATACACTTTCAAAAGTCACTATAATATTTATTGTACGTATTTATACAAATTCAAAAGTCTCCATCTTCTGATGAACTTAGAAAACTGCAAGAAAACGTGGTAGTTTCGGTGCCTAGTGGAAGACGTCTTAAAAAAGAAGCAGAACATCCTTCATGGAAGAGAGAATGCGAAAAGCTTAAAAAAGCTGGCTATGTAAAACTTACTGTTTCAAAACTCGCTATATTTAATTTCTATATATAAAATTTGCAAAACTACCACACTGCGATTTTGATTTTTAATGTTATTAGGCTCTTATTTATCCAAATTTTCAGATAATAAAAATAAATATACAATTTAGATGTTATTTGTTGTTGTAGACGGTTTTTTTTTTAAATTTATGGCTTACTATTATAAAATCACATAACGCTGTTTGCAAGTGGACTACTCAAATGAATAAAAAAAATTTAAATCAGCAAAATGAATAAAATTATTTATATGTATGTAACTGATTCGCCTAATAGGTTTACATATAAAAATATTATCCTCATTTTCGAGCTTAACTCCCTAATCTGTAATGCGAAAAAGAGATTGGTCATACAAAATTATAATTATAAAATAATCTCAGACTAAATCGATAACTTTTTGGTGTCCAACCCAGTTTTATGTATGTAACAGTAAACAAAAATTGATGCTAGCAAGGAAAAGAGGTTTGTAAAGGTAGTTTTAATAAAATATTAAGTTAAAATATATTTAAATATCATAATATTTGTAGCAGAAAAAAGTGACCACGGTGGCACAGAGAAGAAGCTTAACTTTTCCTCGAGTTGTGAGAATAACAAGCACAACCAATTTGACAGCTAACGAGCTTTGATTGAGAATATTTTTATATGTAAACGTACTTTTACGCTTTGCCGTTCGCATATGTTTACACATCAAATTTCATGAGTACCTAGCATGATAAAAATATAGTAAGGTAGAACCGCTGAGAGGCACCTTTGAAATTATTG